CCCCAGATCCTTCTCCACCATTGACCCCCCCCAGATCCTTCTCCACCATTGACCCCCCCCAGATCCTTCTCCACCATTGATTCCCTTAGTTGTACCCCCCCCCCCCCCCCAGTATGTATGATGCATGCATATTCTTAGCCCCCAAGTGCAGAACCTTACATTTATCACCATTAGCCCTCATTGGGCCCATAGTCCCCCAATTACACAGAGCATTGAGGTCGGCTTGTAAGTTGGAGACATCCTGTAAGGACGTTATTCCCCGGCACAGCTTGGTGTCATCTGCAAAGACTGAAATGGGATTTATAATCCCAGACACTATATCATTTAGAAATATATTAAAAAGTAAGGGTACCAACACTGAACCCCCTTGGGGGCCCCCACTAATACTGAACCTTGGGGTACACCACTGACAACACTGAACCTTGGGGTACCCCACTAATAACACTGAACCTTGGGGTTCACCACTAATAACACTGAACCTTGGGGTACCCCACTAATAACACTGAACCTTGGGGTTCACCACTAATAACACTGAACCTTGGGGTACCCCACTAATAACACTGAACCCTTGGGGTTCACCACTAATAACACTGAACCTTGGGGTACCCCACTAATAACACTGAACCTTGGGGTTCACCACTAATAACACTGAACCTTGGGGTACCCCACTAATAACACTGAACCCTGGGGTGCACCCACTGACAACCTTAAAGGGATGAAATATAACCTTCACGTAAACCAATTAATTTACACGTATTGGATATTTTTTTATAGTAAAGACATGGAGCAGAATACATGTTGGTCTAAATTTATGATGAAATTTGATTTTTTTTTTTTATTATTATTATTTTATTGGACTTGATTAATAGCAAAAAGTAAAAATTATTGGTTTTTTTTTTCTCAAAATTGTCGTTTTTTTTTTGTTAATAGCGCACAAAATAAAAAAACCAGCTGATCAAATACCACCAAAAGAAATTTGTGGGAACAAAAATGACGTAAATTTAATTTGGGTGCAGTGTTGCATGACCGCACAATTGTCAGTTAAAGTAACGCAGCGCTGTAACGCAAAAAAATGGCCTAGTCAGGAAGAGGGGTAAATCCTCTGGAGGGCAAGGGGGTTAAAGAGTGCCTCAAAATGAGAAACAATGGCATTGAAATGACAGAGCTGAATTCTTTAAGGCCCCGTGGGTGTATGCCATCCGGTCCAGGGGCTTTATTCACCTTTATTCTGTCTAAATATTTCTGGATCATATCAATTGTGAGTCAATGTGGATCATCTGGAGCTGTGTCAGTACCACCCCCCATTATGGACAAGAGCCCCCCATGCTCCTTTGTATACACAGAGCTGAAGAAGGGATTTCATACATTTGCCTTCTCTTTGTCCCCAGTCACCCCCTCTAGATGGTTCTGTAAAGGACCTACATGCTGAGACCGGACCTTTCTACTATTCATATATTGGAAGAATTTTTTGGGGTTGGTCCTGCTATCTTTTGCAATCTGTCGTTCATTTTCAATTTTTGTGACCTTTATTTCCTTTTTACATATTCTGTTATATGTTTTGTAATGTGTAAATGATGATCGCGTTCCTTCATATAGAATAAAAGCTCTTTTCTTATTATCTATAGCTTTTGTAACTTTGGCCGTAAGCCACATAGGTTTGATTTTTAGCCTTTTAAACTTGTTGCCCATGGGAATATATTTTGCAGTGTGTTCACATACAGTCTTTTTGAAGAACTCCCATTTCTGTGTTGTGTTCTTCGATGCCAATATTCCCTCCCAGTCTAAGTCTTGAAGAGCCTTGGAAAATTAGCTCTCTTGAAATTGAGCGTTTTTTTTTTTCCCCGTATGTGCTTGTTGTTTACAGCTAACAATAAATGAAATCATGTTATGGTCACTGCTACCCAGATGTTCTTTTATATGGACATTCCTAATAAGCTCTGCATGGTTTGCAATGACCAGGTCCAGCAGAGCATCATTCCTAGTTGGGGCCTCTATGAACTGTACAATAAAATTGTCCTGTAGTAGGTTTACAAAATTTTGCCCTTTAACTGTTCCTGCAGTACCATTACTCCAGTCAATTTCCAGGTAGTTAAAATCCCCCATTATTATCACTGCCCCTGCCCTTGCAGCCCTTTCGATCTGTGCAAGGAGCTGAGTCTCCACCTCCTTATTAACACTGGGAGGCCTATAACAAACACCAATGATTACCTTTGTAGTACGCCCCCCATGTGCAGTTCTACCCGTAATGCTTCAGCCTCATCACACTCTCCATCAACTAGGTCCTCTTTCACACTCGCTTCTCACATCGAGACAGACACCACAACCTTTCCTATTTACCCCGTCTCTCCGAAAGAGAACCTAGCCAGGAATATGAATGGCCCAGTCATGTGAAGAATGAAGCCAAGATTCAGCAATACCAATTCAATCCTAGTTCTCTTCATGCACCAAACCTTCCAACTCACCTATTTTGATGGGCAGACTTCTGGCATTGGTGAACAAACACTTTAATCAATTGACACCTTGTGTACACGTATTTTGCATAACATGACAAAATGCGGAAAATTTCAAAGGGTACCTGAAAAATATTTTTTCAAGGCACTGTATATGGGTTTATGCATTCTGTTTTTATGTAGATTTTACTTGGCATCCCATCCTTTTTGGAATTGGGGGAATTGGGTTGTACCTCCATCAATTAAAGAAAAAAAGTACAGTATGGCATTATAACCACTATACAGAGCATCCAGAAAGTATTCCCAGCGCTTAACTTTTGCCACATTTTGTTATGTTACAGCCTTATTCTAAAGTGGATTCAATTCATTTTTTTTCTCAGCATTCTACAAATAATACCCCATAATGACAATGGGAAAGAAGTCCGTTTTGAAATCTTTGCAATTTATTAAAAATAAAAAAAATGATAAATAACCCCATGTACATAAGTATTCACAGCCTTTGCCATCACACTCAAAATTGAGCTCTGGAGCATCCTGTTCCCACTGACCATCCTTGAGATGTTTCCACAACTTGATTGGAGTCCACCTGTGGGAAATTCAGTTGATTGGACATGATTAGGAAAGGCATAAAACCTGTCTATAGAAGGTCCCACAGGTAACAGTGCATGTCAGACCACAAACCAAGCCATGAAGTCCAAGGCATTGTCCGTAGACCTCCGAGACAGGATTGTATCAAGGCACAGATCTGGGGAAGGGTACAGAAACATTTCTGCAGCATTGAAGGTCCCAATGAGCACAGTGACCTCCATCATCCACAAATGGAAGAAGTTTGGAATCACCAGAAATCTTCCTAGAGCGGGTTGTCCAGGCCAAAATGAGCAATCGAGGGAGAAGGGCCTTAGCCAGGGAGGTAACCAAGCATCCCGATGGTCACTCTGAAAGAGCTCCAGCATTTCTCTGTGGACAGAGAGGAGAACCTTCCAGAAGAACAACCATCTCTGCAGCACCCCACCAATCAGGCCTGTATGGTAGAGTGGCCAGATGGAAGCCACTCCTCAGTAAAAGGCAAATGGCAGCCTGCCTGGAGTTTGCCAAAAGGCACCTGAGGGACTTTCAGACCATGAGAAACAAAACTCTGGTCTGATGAAACAAAGGTTCAACTCTTTGGCCTGAATTCCAAACGTCATGTCTGGAGGAAACCAGGCACCGCTCACCACCTGGCCAATACCATCCCTACAGTACAGTGAAGCATGGTGGTGGCAGCATCATGCTGTGGGGATGGTTTTCAGCGGCAGGAACTGGGAGACTAGTCAGGATCGAAGGAAAGATGAACACAGCAGTGTTCAGAGACATCCTTGTTGAAAACCTGTTCCAGAGCGCTCTGGACCTTAGACTGGGGCGACGGTCATTCATCTTTCAACAGGATAACGACCCCCTAAGCACACAGACCACATAACAAAGGAGTGGATATGGGCCAACTCTATGAATGTCCTGGAGTGGCCCAGCCAGAGCCCAGACTTGAAACCGATTGAGCATCTCTGGAGAGATCTGAAAATGGCTGTGCACCGACGCTCCCCATCCAAACCTGATGGAGCTTGGGAGGTCCTGCAAAGAATGGGAGAAATTGCCCAAAAATAGGTGTGCCAAGCTTGTAGCATCATACTCCAAACGACTTGAGGCTGGAATTGGTGCTAAAGGGGCTTCAACAAAGGATTGAGCAAAGGCGGGAAATACTTATGTACATGGAGGGGTTTCCTTTTTTATTTTAAATAAATTGCAAAGATTTCAAAAAGAACTTCTTTCACGTTGTCTGTAGAATGTTGAGGGAAAAAATAATGAATTTAATCCGTTTTGGAATAAGGCCGTAACAACAAAATGTGGCCAAAGTTAAGCGCTGGGAATAGTTTCTGGATGCGCTGTATGGAGTCAATGATCATAGGAAATCACTATAGGATATAAAATACTGCCAGAATGTGTCACAACTGGGTAAATTCTTGTCACATTCATTCAACTTTTTTATTATGGACCTTTAAGTGTTTGTGAAATCTCCCACCACAAAATGTACTCCGCCAATGAAAGGTGATGACTCCATTTTTATTCTTCTCCTGCCATCAATGGCCAACCCAGTCCAACATTTCATCCATGTCTTTGGTGACCTCTGATCTCCTTATGAACAGTTTCTTCCATGATGAAGATCAGCCATGGAGTATATCTGAGGTGTATATCAGGGTGTGCTTCTTCCCCACATGACAGCTGGGATGTCCAGCAACATTCATCTAGAAGACATTTTTTCCGCACTCAGGGCACTAATATACCTCCAGGGTTGTGTGGAACTCCTGATGGACAGGAAGTCAGGACTTCAGTGAGAAACAATTCTCTTACTTGGGACAGGAAAGTCGCTTCGCCCCCGGGTGACATCTCTGATGTTTGTAAAGATTGGATAAATGTGAAAAACATTTCTCGCAGTGGGGACAGGAATACGGCTTCTCCCCCGTATGCAATCTCTGATGGCTGTTAAGATGTGCCTTTGATGAAAAACATTTCCCGCACTCAGAACAGGAATACGGCTTCTCCCCCTCTGTGCAATCGCTGATGGATGTAAAAATGTGATATCGTTGAAAAACATTTCCCGCACTCAGAACAGGAATACGGCTTTACCCCTGTGTGAGACCTCTGATGGCTGTAAAGACTGGACTTCACTGAAAAACATTTCCCGCACTCAGTACAGAAATACGGCTTTTCCCCCCCTGTGAGATCTCTGATGGCTGTAAAGATTGTACTTATCTGAAAAACATCTCCCACACTCAGGACAGGAATACGGCTTCTCCCCCGTATGAGATCTCTGATGTCTGTAAAGATGTGGCTTCCTTGAAAAACATTTCCCACACTCAGGACAGGAATATGGCTTCTCACCTCTGTGCAATCTCTGATGTTGGTAAAGATTGGACACATGTGAAAAACATTTCCCGCAGTCAGGACAAGAATACGGCTTCTCCCCTGTGTGCATTTTCTGATGGCTGAGAAGATGACACTTCAGTGAAAAACATTTCCCGCAGTCAGGACAAGAATACGGCTTATTATTTGTGTGAGATTTCTGATGTTTGTTAAAAGTGGACTTATGTGAAAAATACTGGCCACACTCAGGACAGGTATACTGCTTTTCCCTAGTGTGAAATCTCTGATGTTTGTAAAACTGTGACTTCTTTGAGAAACATATCCCGCACTCAGGGCAGGTATACAACTTCTCGACCTTGTGAGATCTCTGATGTCTGAAAAGACTGGACTTTGCTGTAAAACATTTCCCGCACTCAGGGCATGAATGTGGCTTAGCCCCTGTGTGAGATCTTTTTGCACATTAAGACGGGATTTATAATGGAAACCTTTCCCACACTCAGCACAGGAGAACCTCTTCCCTGTTGGAAGGCCGGCCCGGTCCCGCACAGTCTGAGGTTCCTCAGGATACGAGGAATCCGATGGTCCATCTACACTGGGTGGTGCCGGATGGACATTGGAGGGAGCCGGGTTTTCTCCTGGACTATACTGTGTGATGTCCTCATCTTCTACTTTCCAGTCTGGAGACAAAGTGAGACAATCCTCGGAGGTTTTCCTCATCTCCCGGCCATGGACTAAAATACAAAGACAAAGAGGATTACTAGACAGGAGCTGATTGGTTCCCCCAAACCAGGACTCCGCCCACATCAGGCAGCTTGGTCTCTGAGGAGCTTACAATTCCACCCTCAAGGGAACTAGGAAATGGCTCCTCTGATCTCCTACCAGGTCATTTCTTTATTCATGGACCTTAGTCAGAGAGTGAGGAAACAACCAGAACTGTCTTTTATAGGAGGGACAGTCAGAAGGTTGTTACACACGGTACGACATCAGAATTATGTAATATACAACAGAGTATATGATGCTGGGGTCAGGAGTATGTAATGTACAGCCGTGTATATAATGCAGGGTCAGGAGTATGCAATGTACAGCCATGTATACAGTTCAGGGGTAAGGAGTATGTAATGTACAGCCATGTATATAGTGTTCAGGGGTCAGGAGTATGCAATGTATAGCCATGTATACAGTTCAGGGGTCAGGAGTATGCAATGTACAGCATGTATACAGTTCAGGGGTCAGGAGTATGCAATGTATAGCCATGTATACAGTTCAGGGGTCAGGAGTATGCAATGTATAGCCATGTATACAGTTCAGGGGTCAGGAGTATGTAATGTACAGCAGTGTATATAGTGCAGGGGTCAGGAGTATGCAATGTACAGCCAGTGTATATAGTGCAGGGGTCAGGAGTATGTAATGTACAGCATGTATACAGTTCAGGGGTCAGGAGTATGCAATGTACAGCAGTGTATACAGTTCAGGGGTCAGGAGTATGCAATGTACAGCCATGTATACAGTTCAGGGGTCAGGAGTATGCAATGTACAATAGTGTATACAGTGCAGGGGTCAGGAGTATGTAATGTACAGCAGTGTATACAGTTCAGGGGTCAGGAGTATGTAATGTACAGCACTGTATATAGTAGGGGTCAGAGTATGTAATACAGCACTGTATACAGTTCAGGGGTCAGGAGTATGTAATGTACAGCACTGTATATAGTGCTGGATCAGGACTAAATAACGTGCAATATAAATTATACAGTGTAAGGGTCAGGACTCATAATATTGGTATTCAGCAATCAGTGGTGGCCTAAATGTCATCTTGAGACAAGCTGCAGAGGTCCCACACCCACTGCCTCCCATCTCCTGAGTCTGAATCCATTGTTTCTATGTGTTTATCAGATGATGGGGGATCTAGGTGGATCCTCCGTACTGCTCTCTCCTTTACAATAAAGTCTCCTCTTACCCGGTGATGTGAGGGGCGGCTGATTGTCCATCATGACGTCCTTGTAGAGATCCTTGTGTCCTTCTAAATACTCCCACTCCTCCATGGAGAAATAGACAGTGACATCCTGACACCTTATAGGAACCTGACACACACAATGATACAGTCACCATCCAGACACATCCCTTGTCTGTTACTGGAGAATGTCCCAGAATTCCCGGCACCGCTCACCTCTCCAGTCAGCAGCTCCATCATCTTCTTGGTGACTTCTAGAGTCTTCTCTGTGTTGCATCTTGTAGGGATCACGGATGATGGTGGTGGGATGGTGATGGGATTCTGGATTCTTGAGGATCTTGTGGTCATCTTATGAGATCTCCTTCTTGTAGATTTCTTCATTACTGCTTTACAGTTCTGTGTCATACAAAGATAAATATCAGTCTCCCATAATCCCTCACATCTATGGTCAGGTCTACATTTATTGACCAGGGATTGGCCACAACGTGCCCAATTCCACAAAGGACAGACATCTCCATCCAATGATATGATCAAAATGGGGTCAGATTTATAGCTCCTTCTAGAAGTCATATAATAGAGTCACTAATGTTTCACTAGTAAGGCTCACTGACCCACCAGGAAATGTCACCCATGGATTAGCGGTCAGTGGGCGTGGCGTGCCGGCATTCATGGGTCTTACTGATTGGACTAAAGATTAAATTGCTCTTTTCTATAACTAATACCGCCATCTTGTGCTATAACCAAATCTCATAGAGTCCGGACACTTTATGTATTCATAGTACTTGTGTGGATGCTATTATTGGTTGGGAAAACATCAGAAGACAAAATGAATCTGAACCCATCCAAGTGTATAGAATATCTAGATTTAACCCCTTCATTACACTCACCTCTCCAGTGAGCAGGCTGAGGATCTCCAGGGAAAGGCTTAATATCGTCCTCTTCTGGGGAAATTCTTTCCTTACAAAAGTCTGCTGATTGTCCATCATGACGTCCTTGTAGAGATCCTTGTGTCCTTCTAAATACTCCCACTCCTCCATGGAGAAATAGACAGTGACACCCTGACACCTTATAGGAACCTGACACACACAATGATACAGTCACCATCCAGACACATCCCTTGTCTGTTACTGGAGAATGTCCCAGAATTCCCGGCACCGCTCACCTCTCCTGTCAGCAGCTCCATTATCTTCTTGGTGACTTCTAGAATCTTCTGCATGTTGTGTCTTTCAGGAAATTTCTGTATTGAGGAACCAATAAAAATATCATGTTAGAATCCCAGAATCCTCCTCACCTCTCCTGTCAAGTCTGTGTTTTATTAATACAGATGAGAGTGATGTCATGTGATCTCCCATAATCCTCCTCACCTCTCCTGTCAAGTCTGTGTTTTATTAATAGAGATGAGAGTGATGTCATGTGATCTCCCATAATCCTCCTCACCTCTCCGGTCAGGCCTGTGTTTTATTAATAGAGATAAGAGTTATGTCATGTGACCTCCCAGAATCCTCCTCACCTCTCCGGTCAGGTCTGCATTTTATTAATAGAGGATAAGAGAGAGATGTCATGTGACCTCCCAGAATCCTCCTCACCTCTCCGGTCAGGTCTGTGTTTTATTAATAGAGGTCAGAGTGACGTCATGTGACCTCCCAGAATCCTCCTCACCTCTCCGGTCAGGTCTGTGTTTTATTAATAGAGGTATTAGAGTGAGGTCATGTGACCTCCCAGAATCCTCCTCACCTCTCCGGTCAGGTCTGTGTTTTATTAATAGAGATAAGAGTGATGTCATGTGACCTCCCAGAATCCTCCTCACCTCTCCGGTCAGGTCTGTGTTTTATTAATAGAGATAAGAGTGATGTCATGTGACCTCCCAGAATCCTCCTCACCTCTCCGGTCAGGTCTGTGTTTTATTAATAGAGATAAAGAGTGATGTCATGTGACCTCCCAGAATCCTCCTCACCTCTCCGGTCAGCAGGTAGATGATCTCCAGGGTGAGGTTTTCTATCTTCTCATTCTTGTGACTCCGGTCCTCCTCCATCCTCATTGGTGCCATCATGTGATCTATACAGGTCTTCTTGTAGACGGATAACTTTGGGAAATGTAAGTAAGAATGATTTGGATGGTATTGGTCACACAATAATAGGATGTGGATGTCAGGGGGGAATAGGAGGGTTGCTGTACATTTTAGAACTTCTGACCCCATGAGGACAGGACTCTTAATCTGGACTCTTTACCCTTTGCTACATGTTCACAAACCCAGAACTCTCTTGGCCTGCTGGATCAGAAATTCCCTTTCCTCTGTTGGGTTTGTTTGGTTTCTGAACTGGTTTTGAATAGTTGTAGATCTGCAGACCAGGAATGATAAATATGATCCTTCCTTTGACTTGTTTGCTCTGAGGCAGTGCTGTGAGGTCAATGTAGGGCCATCATGATGTCCAGGAAGGGGAACTTGATGACTTTAGGCTGAGCTTGCCAGTTAATCAGGATAATTGCCAGAACTGAGTCTGCAAGGCTCCAATCTCCGGAAGCCTCCTGACTGACAGGAGTGATGTCACTGTCACTCTTTGCAGTAACAGAAGGAATTGGATAGTAAGAGTATGATGCTGATGAAGTAGAGAGCTGTGAGGGAAGAGTCTGGACTCTTCCCTCCAATGGAAGCCCATTATGGGTAGGAGGAGGACAGCGGGAGGTGAGTGGTGTGTTCTCTTGGTTGCAAAGTATACTGTAGTATCCAGAACATTGTACAGAGTGGTGGTGGGTTCCTGGTGTTCTCAATTTCAGCACCGAACACTGCCAGAGCCTGTGTCAAGTGAAGGTGTTGAGCTGTCCACCTGTTAAGCAATGCTGTGCAAACAGATCTCCTCCTATTTTGTATCCTGCAGCATATGTCTTGACCAGTGAGATGGAAAGGTGAAGGCTTCCTTCACCTGCTGGCAGGAGTTCTTTAAGGAGGTCAGAGAAGTGCAGGTGGGGTGGGAGGACCATAAGAAACCAAGAGCCCCTATGAGCTCTAAAGCCTCCTCTGATGGAGTAGTCGGACTGCAAGGCTCTAAAGTAAGAGACCACCACAGCCCTTCAGCCCCACTAACCTCTCAGAGTTGTTCAGCCCTACTACTTCCTAAGAGGCCCCCAAATTCCTTCAGCTGCACAACCTCCTTCGGGGGTCACAGAGTCCTTCAAATGCATTACACCCTCAAAGGTTCCCAAAATCCTTTAGACCCGCAGCCTCCTCAGACACCTTTCAGCTCCTCTAAATCCATCATAACCCTCAGTATTTCCCTCCCTCTGACACCAATGATGGAAATGGCAGGATAAGGAATGTTTTCT